TGGAGTGGGATTTTAGAAAAATGGAGCGGAGTTGTGTGGAGTTGGAGCGGCACTATGTGGAGTTGGAGTTAGAGTTGGAGTGGGGATTTAGAAAAATGGAGTAGAGTTGGTCGGAGTTGGAGTTGCACATAGCCGGAGTTGCCCATCTCTGAAGACTTCAAGATTCTATTCGGACTAATGAACCTGGGATCTAAAATTTTATGGCAACCAAGCAAGAAGCTCATCTAAAATATATTCTTTTTAAAAGAGTTTCTTTGTTTGTTGGTACTTTTGTCTTTCACTTAATACCAAAAGATAAGAGTGCACTTTATATATATTTGTTCATTGTGCGTTAAACGTTAATGAACAATTTTATTGTATATATCAACGTACCAATCGATTTGTTTTTAAACTCAGAGATGTATAATAAAGCATTAACGTCTAGGTGTTTATGATCTATTGAAACTTTGTCATAGCTGATCTTATTTCTAAACTTTAGAAAAGCTAACTGTTTTCTATCGCGAAGAATCTTACGTATATTCAATTTGATTTGTTTTTTGATCAACATAACATGCACGTAAAAGTCGTTTTGTTGATGAATCAATAAGATGAGCACGAATGAAAGCAATTGCTTGTTCAGCAAGTTGAGTATATTTAGAATCTTGAAGTACACAAGCAGCACGAGCTAAACCACTTATCATAAGACCATTCCATGAAGCAAGAAATTTCTCATCACGATGTGGTCGTGGTCGATTTTCATTACGATAAGCAAGAAGAATTTCATGACATTTAGCCAAAATTTCTTTTACTTCAGTAATATTTTCAAGTTTAAATTTTTCTATAATAGTTTGAAGATTACCATTAGTAATTAAAACATTTTGATGTTTTAATTCATCATGAGGATCCTTTAGAAAAAAAAGTCATTATAAATATAATAACATAAATTTTTATATCTTACTTGCATCGGATCAACATTACCATTTTTCTTACATTGATAATAAGCACAGAAAATATCAGCATGTTTTGCAGGTAAAACTTTATGTAATTCATCATAATTCCAAACATAAAATGCTCCTAAATACGAAAAACAAAGCCGCTAACACATTTTCTGCGGACTTAAAATGTGAAACACTATTTAGCTGTTATTGCTTATTACAGGGCAATCGTTTTATTCAGTCTCTTATGCGATACATTTCTTTATCCAGCTTTTACTTAATTCTCCAGAAATACAATAAAGAAATAATTAATATATCGTAACAAGTCGTTATCAATATATGGTCTGTGGGAAGAAGGTACACATTTCTACCCTGTTTACTTCATTCTCCTTTTAGATCGTGTTTTACAAAAAATATATGTTTATTTAAAGTTAACTTCTTATTAAATTTTCTAACCTTCTTTTTTTTTTGTATCAGTTTTCGTCGGTAATGAATCAGCGTCTTCAGCACAATAAAAACCTCCATGTTCACTATGACGTAAATCGTGTTCAACATATGAAATTAGATCTCGTAATGTTTGACTAATGAGTTCATCTTTAGTAATCTTTAATAGAAAAAAAAAGTAATAAAGTTATCTATTCATAGAAAATATTTTTTTTTACAGCATATGTATCAGCTAATGATACAGCCAATTGTCCTTGATCATAAAGCATTTTTTCAAAATGAGGTACATGCCATCTATCATCTGTTGAATATCTATGAAAACCTTTACCTAATTGATCATTAATACCACCTATATATAGAAATTTGAGAAATTTGTATTTGGTAAATAAATATAATTAATAACCTAAAGACATTTTCTTTAATGTCGTTTGAGTCATATCAATAGCTAATCGAGCAACATCTGATTTTCCTTTTGCTTGATGACTTAACGCAGCATGCGTTAATAAAAAGTTAAAATTCACTATAGAAAATATTGATTAATAAAGAAAATTTTCGATAACAGAAAAACACAAGTGCTATTAAACATACCCGGTTGAGGAAATTTTGGATGTGTACCAAAACCACCATTATTATCGTCAAAATCATTTGCAAAATAAGCAAAACATGTTTGTATACTTGAATTTAAAGGTAAATTAGGATCATTTTCTGTACTAGCTGCTTGTGTTTCTATAGCTTTCGTCAATTGTTGTATTGCATCTTTACTTCCATCAATAATTTCATTTGATTTTGTTGACCATGCTTTATTTAAATTCAATAAAATTTCTTTAAAACCAGGACGACCATATTGATGTTCACTAGCCGGTGGAAAATATGTACCGGCATAAAATGGTTGTAATTGTGGAGTGAGCCAAACAGATAATGGCCAACCACCACCACTTTGTGTTGCCTAACAAATAAAAAACCGAACGAAATAAAGTCAAATAATAGAACGTAATAGTTACTTGAAGATATGTCATATAGACTCGATCGACATCAGGACGTTCTTCTCGATCAACTTTAATTGATACGAAATGATCATTAAGTATTTTCGCAATTTCATTATTTTCAAAAGATTCATGTTCCATTACATGACACCAATGACAAGTACTATAACCAACTAGAAAAGAAGTTTGTTTTCTTTGATGAAAGAAAATCAAACCATTTTGATTTACTCGAGAGAAAAATTGGTTTATTTTCTTGACGAGCTTTTTCAAATGCTTCTTGACTCCATGCATACCTGAAATGATTATAATAAAAATCGACAATATTTTTTGTTTTGTTTACCAATTAACTGGATTACGAGCATGTTGTTGAAGATAAGAAGATTTTTCGTTTGCTAATCGATTTATAAAACGTTGCTGTTCTTGTTGAGCCATATTAACAATTAAACGAATTAAAGAAACACTACAAAAATCAAATAATTTTTTAAAAATCTGCGTTCATTAATGGTGCGCTTCTACAAGATACACATGCACCCTCACCATCATACAATGCTTGGCATGCTGAGATCAATGTAATTTATGAATAGGGTGTGTACATCTTATAGAAAAACTACTAATCGTACTTTCGAGAACGCCAATGACTGATCATTACATTAAGTTAACTTTTTCTAGAAAGTACAAGGCTACGATAAATCTATCTATTCTATTAACATATCACCATTTATTTTATTTCGTCTATTCGTTCTTTCATTTATTACTCGTGCAATATAAAAACCAATGAAAAATGACAGTACATGAAACATATTACTTCAGTGTTCATGCTGTTTGCTAGAGTCCTCTTGAGTATTCATTGGATAATGAAAAGATTATAATCCATGGAAAATATTTTATCAGCAGTATCAATGATGAGAATTATATTTCAAATGATTTTGTATGTATCCGAAACTAATTTGATCATTATGATTTACTTTTACATTGGTTTCATAAAAGAAAATAATTAATAACCTATACCAAGAAAACTGTATTTTAAAAACTAATCTCACTAAATAACGCGAAAAAATGTTTTTTTTTTGTTAGGTCAATACCGAGATTAACATTAGAGTTAGATCTATACATGGTAGCCGAGAGTCACTGGACAGTTTTTCATAGCGAATAAGTTTTGACAGAAACATGAGCAATAATATTTAAAAATATTTTTAGGATTATTTTGAAAAGTCAAGATTTCTAGAAAACTAAGGTTTTCGAAGTTTCCATAGCACTGTAAATTGTCATCATACCCGTTAAATTTCACATAGATTTCTGAGAAACCTACCAAAAAATTATGAATATGATGTTCCTTATATGGTTCGATGCATTTAAGTCTCCTTGTCTCAACGGTAAACTGCATCTCGTTTTCTTATTTCTATCAAAAGTTATTAGCAATCAAAAACGTTCCGGTGACTTTTGAGCCATCCTGTCATAAAAATCCTACTTCAAAAACAAAACCATATTTTGGATATTTATCATCATCGTCGAACTCAATGGATTCACTATGTGTTAGTTATTCGTAAGGGTAGTCGAGAGTGAAGAGAGCACATATATGCACACCCATCCCAAAATGGCATATTATACTAAGAACAATCATTAAATGATATGTTATTAAATCAAGATGATGGTATAATTAAATAGTAGAGAGATTTTATGCAAACGACTTTAAAATTAGACCCACACATTAAGGTTTTTTATTATACATAAGCGATGATATTCAGTAATTTCTTTATTAAGATGAACTGTAGGAGGGTACTAGTATGCTGAGATGGCATATTTAAATTCTACACATTAATTTATTGGTTCTTTTCCATTTATTTTACTTTTATTCTTCATGTCTAGATACTTCGATGATCTTTTTTTCTCTTTGCTTTATAGAATATTTTTCCATATTATTCTAATATATGCTTTGATTCATGTAAAAATATGCATTCATAAATTTCTTTTTTTTGTTCGTGAAAAATCAATCAATATAGCAAAAAAATTTAAGCTGTGACATACATCTCAATGATAATAAGAATAATCATTTTAAAGCGGCAAGAGAGTAATATATTGTAGAAAACTCATTTTATTTGCCAACAAAATTTGTACATTGTGAAGCGCAATATATTTGTTTAGGTCTCATGATATAATGAATATTGAGAAAAGTTGTACTAGAATTAATATTATCTGTCAATAAATTTGATAGAGAAAAAAACAATATCACTCGCCCGTCCCCCACCCACACCCTTTTATGGTATATCCAACTAATGAACTATGGTTTCACAAAATTAGTTTACATATTTAGAAGTCTTTTACGGTGTTAAATCAAATAGTATTTTATTTTCTTGTTAAAATGTTTATAAAAACATTCAATTTAATTATTCGCCCAAAAGTCAACCACAGTTACTTCAGCCAAATATGGTTTTATGATATTGACAAAAGCCACATGATCTTCATGATAAAGATATATATCCCGATCTTGTTCGTTAGCAAATGTCAGTATGAAACAATGAGTATATCCACGATCAAGATTTTCCTTGCTAACATTTGCACCCCATTCGTATTCCTTGACTTGAGAAACTTTGACTGTTGCTAATGTACGAAATTCATTTTCGAGTCGTGTTATATCCGCTGACGATGTATTCTCATTGAATTTAAACAAGACAACATGACGTAGGAGTTGTTTATTTGAAGTCATATGACTTAGCAAGCAATATGTGGTTTTGAAGAGTGAAGATGACGAAGGATAAGAGTAAAAAGGACACAAATGAAAATCAAAGAAGTACAAGTAACTACCAACGTTGCTTTTCTTTTCGTTCGCTTCTTAACATTGGTCGTGCTATAAACCTTTGACATGATGCGTCTCTACAGTTTGATCTTAAATAGCGACAACTGTCGCGAAATAACTTGAATCTAAACACCGAGATATCAAGATCGTCAGAACGTTTTGAAAATTTCAATTAGATGAATTATTTCTTTTGAAACTAAACTAATTCAAATATGAATAATTATGTCATACGAAGAAAATTAAATTCCTTAAGTAGTTAAATATTTTAGATCGATAAACAACTTTTTTTGACCAAAACTTTGAGTCAAGTTCAGTGTTTCTCAGAGTAGGATGGGTTGTAAATTCGATAGAAAGTCCAACATTTTTAGTACGAAAAGGCCTCGCTATCCTTTCCCTAATTTGGATAATCTGGTCAAATTTTATGTTTTTAAAGAATAGACAACATATGATAAACATAGTAAGTTTTTTAGTGTTTCCAAGATGTATATATAGGTAAAAAGTCAGGTTTAAAAACAACATATGAATACAAGTGCATATCTCATAACATGAAATTTGTAAGAGATGCAAAATAATTGCTTTATTATTTCGAATACATTTATAAAATGTTGAGAATAAGAATAAGAAAAATGAATCTAAAAAATAATTCGTTGTTGGTATAGTTTTTCAATTAAACAAGAATCATTTTAAATAGAACCATGCGATAAACTAGATGGTATTTGAGTTTCACTCGATTGCAAAGTCCAGTAAGAAGCTTTGAGTCTGGATTACCGGAAAAAATTCGATATCTCATAAAAATCAATGATCGTTTATACGATTAATTACGAAACGCTGTTGGTCAGAAAATATTTATTTTTTACTGAAATCGTCATTTTTTCTCTGTCACTCGGAATTCAAAAATTGGTTTTTTGACCGATCAGATTATTCAAGTCATGAAGAAATCGTAAAATAGCCATTGTGAAATTCATTAATAAGCGAACATTCATAGGTGCTACTAGTAGTAAATTATTAAAAATTTCAATTATACAAATTAGATTTAAAAATCTTTATATTTCATACAAGAGCGAAAAATATAGTTGTTATCAGAAATAATCAATTTTATTCAAAATATTGACATAAGCCACTAGAAATTTGTTTCTATTAGAATAATAATCAACATTATTTAAATGAACCTGAAAAGAGTGATTTTAATACGTGAAGTACATGTAGTGAATGGGTAATCAATTTATTGCGTTGTTTAATTATTAGGTCATACAAATTACGTGTGATCATTTAATAGATCAAAACATGGTAAAACAAATCAGATAAAGCAATCAATTCGAAATCATTGGTTTTCATGTTTTATTTTCTTATGGTATTCAATAATTAACAGTTCTCTTCGATACATACAATTTTAGTGAACATCTATGAAACGTTCCTAAATATAATAACCTCTGTGTTATACTAATTTTCAAATAAAGCAATCTACTACAAATCTTGATAAATAATATGTTTTCTATTTATTTGATTGAAGCTTTATTACTTGTTTATAAACGAAACTACAAGCCTTGTTATGAAAAAAATCAAAAGAATCTTCATTTGAATATCTTTGTTTTGGATTAGTAACAGAAAATATGATTATTTATTTTATTGGATGTAAAGATTCTAGATGAAAAAAATAAATGATTGTTATCATCTTAAAGTTGTTCAACTTAGTGAAAGATTTTCAGCTGGAATTATATAATAAAAATAATCATTGAAATTATTTAAAGTTGAAGCATTTTTTTGTATATATACAAAGATTACTTTCATTGATATCATCATTGATAATTTTTCATAATTTTCAACCTGTAAAACATATATTTTAACAGTTCTTAGCATAGTAAAATCAAGTCTTACATCTTCAAAAATTTTTTTTCAAGCTAATAGTTTATATGTATCATGAAGTTGGTTTTTGATAAAGACAGCAGTATTTACGTAGTATCCAGATAAAGTCCTTCGACAAAACCTAAATATAAATTTTTTTTAGGTCTTTGAACATCGAAAACTTCTATTATCATTCATTATACACTGACACTAAAATTTGCAAGATTATGTTTGAAACACATCAATCGTAAACTGATACAAAACTATTCCAATTCATTTTGATGAAACGAATTCTATTAGGAAACTCACTCATAATACTAGTTTATTTTTCAACCAGAAGTAAAAATATTTTTCTAGTCACTTGATTCATCTTTATCACATCTGACTTCCAATAGCTACTGTGCCCTATAAGAAAAATTGTCGCACATATAACATAATGACCGAGGAACAAAATTTCAAATACATCATTCGATGCAGTACAACATTTCAATCGATATAGTTCAAATTGAAACTGTTCTCTATACAAGTTTTACTTAAACAGATATTGGAACATCGAGTCATACTTGTCACATGCCGAATGCTCACATTAATGACCTTATGATGGAAAACTGTATCTAGTGTCAACAAACTATGACTCATACCAAACTTCAATAGTAATATGTTTAGTGCATTGAAATCTCGATGTATCTATTCTTCTCAATGACATTCTTGTTCAAGATAATACCCAGAACTTTAAATCCTTCAACAATATATGAAGATCTCCTTGGTAAAAGAGCGATCATCCTTCATTCGAGAG